TTGCAAATTGTTTTGAGTTAGAAATTCATAAAAATTATTCTTTTTAGTTTTTATATCTAAGATTTAAAATTTATTACAAGATTTATCATAAGTTTTTCTATCTTTATCAAAAATAAAACATTTACTGGAAACTGGAAAGTCACATTAACTTTTTAGTTTTTATACGTGTTTGAAGTTCAAATTTATGCAATCACGACATTGGATATTCACACGTAAATTACAGATTTTAAATTCTGAGCGGAGCGAGGAATGTGTAGATTTTACCATGTTATTTTTTTTTTTTTAATTTTTAATTTGTGTTATCACTGTTTGGGGCAGTACAACTGATTCGATTTTATTTTTTTTTCTTCAACAGTATCTTGTTCGATGGGAAAGTGAATCTAGTTGAGAGGTCAAAATTTAAAGTTCCCAGTAATTTTCAAAAGCGCAGGGAAAAACAAAATACAAATTAAGGAAAGACGGTATACATTTTACCCAAAATTGGTTTTCGACAATGTCAATTTTGGTTTTTGGTGTAACTAAAACAAATGACCGTAGATACATTCAATTTTCACTGAACGTTTACATTATTACTGTTTTCTAAACATGATCAAATTTTCAAAATATTTTAACTTGTTTTGAGACGTTTACAGACATTTTCAGTTTCCAGTTTTTAGATTCAAAGCAGAGCGATGAATGTATTGATTTCGCCAATGTGTGTTTTTTAATAAATAAATTAAACTAGACAGTGATCACTATAACACAAATACATTTAATATTTTAATATTATCAATTTTTCCTACTAATATTAGTAATATTTATGTACGATAATAATTTTTTTTTAATTTTTTTATTGGTAAGTTGCATATAATCATTATTTTCGTAAATGAAAAAAAAAATTAAAGATTACAATTTTCTTTTAGTCTCATTAATATAAGTATTGTTATTTAAAGAAATCAATATTTTTTTTAAAAAATGTCATATAATATTGAACATTTAGTATTAAAATATAATAAAAAACACAAACAAATAATAAAATAAAAACTTCTTTCCAATCAATCAAAAAATAATTATGTTTCTGAAACGCTTAAATGACAAAATAATATTTAATAACAAAATCAATTTATTTTTATCTAAGATGCCATTTGACAGACTTTCAATTATCATAATTAATTATAAATTAAATATTTATTATTATAAATAATTAATTTAAATTTATGTTGTACAATCTACACTAGTGAATCTTCTGCTAAAATGTAATTAAAAAATGAATAATTTTATGGTTTCTTTATTATTTTAAATTGTTCATTAATAATATACATAAAATATAAATACCTAAAAAAAATTAAACATTAAAGATATAATTCTTTAAAAAAAAATCCATGCCAATTTTTTTTCTTAATAAAATTTTGTTATTAATTGAGTGTACTCTTTAAAAAAAAAAAATTCTTCTTGAATTGTTAAGTGAATATTGTTTTGTAAAATTATGTTTTGCTTACACAAAATATTTTTTGTATTGAATTAAATGTGCAATACCGTTAATTGTGTGTTTTTATCAGAAAGAAATGGAGTTATGTCGTTGCTTCTGGCACTTTCTAAATTAATTTTTCCAACATTTATGAGAATTTGGTCAAATTATTAATTATTAAAGTAATATCAGCTTTAAATGCTTTTCCTCCAAAGAAATAAAGAATCATAAAAACCATATTATTCAGTCGTCTATGTCTATTATTAATTTAAAAGACTACACGCTTAAGACACCCCAAGTTCAAGTGTATTATTTTCAATATTTTTATGTATCAAATTATTTCTTTTCCTACAGTTCTTATATCTCAAGGAATTTATGGTATAAAATATCTTATATATTTTTGTTTTATGATTTATGGGTAAACAGTAACTTGTTATATTATATATTATCCTTATTACTGGTTTATCATAAATATTGGAAATTAAACGCAAATTAGTTTATAATTATTATTTTGTATCGAAACGTTGAAAAATATTATTTTTATATGTTACTACTATTTATTTAATAACCTACAGTCAAGAAACCTATCCTATACACTATACAGTACCTCCAGTATATTATTATATTAGAGTACATATTATATTTTTTATTTTAGATTCTGATCATAAAGATAAATCATAAATGTCGGTACTGGTTTTAAAATTATGTGTTTTTTAATTACTTATGAAAACCTTTGTATTAGTTAAAAAAAAAAAAATTATTACTCTTTTATCAACATTTAAAAATTTAAAAATGTTATAGCTAGTTGACTACTTTTAAGATGCGAGTGGATAATGTATTATTTTGAAAATGATCAAAAATATATTTATATCAAAACTTAATAACTTTTAACTATCACCTCGGATGGTAATAACTAATAACTGATGGTTATATTATATTACTAATTCGTAAATTTGTTTTTTTAATTTCACTTTTTGTATCCTTTGGCTAAATGTTGATTTTGATATAACTTTTCTTTGATAAATAAATTTAAGATTCATACAAATACACTCCAGATGGATATAATATAAAAAGTTAAAATTAGTATTCTGTTTGTGTCACGTATTTTATTTTTGAAAATAATAAATACAGGTAAAAAAGAAATATTATGTTGTATCTTTTGAACTTTTTAGTCCCTTCATGAATGTAGATTGATATACTATCTACCAAATGAACGATCTCCTAAAAATGCAAAGAAAACTCTCTTCATTTTAATCATATTTTTAATATTATCGTGTCAATTTCTGACAGTACTGTAGGTACTAAAAACTGTATACCATACTACATTTAACACCGAGAAAAAATATAATTATGTTATAATAGATACCTAGTAATCAAAATAACGGATATCATTTAAGGACCTATAAGTTATTTCATAAAACCTTAGATTAATTAATGCTCGCTTTATTTTTCAAATAATAAATATGTTCTTTAATTTATCTTCAGTGCCACGCCAAGGAAGGGATTTCTAGTCAAATTTTGACATTTAGATTTTTCAATACTTTCTGAACTAAAAAAATGCTCTTTTTTGTTAAAAACAAATTAAGTATTAATTAATACTTACCAATAATAATGACGTCTAATTTTCATTTAGGTATACACAAAATTTACCAACATTTTAAAACCCGTATCATTGATAATATCAATGGCTAAACGGAAAACATAGATGTTCTGACAACTTTTTTTGTTTGCGCACTAAAGATACATATTTCCATATAATTTGAAAATTATTATTATTGAATATTAATACCAAACGTATAAAAAGTAACAAACAACAAATGTACTAGTTAACATTATTTCAATTTAGAAAAGTTACAAATTTAGCCAGCCAACTTCGACATAGTTAATAAGGTATACGACATTACAATTGTTTTCGTTTTTTTTTTGTTTTTTTTAATGCTTAGTAATATTTTGTTTCAAAGTAGTCTCGCTATTTTGTAAAATAGCATGTCCTTATTTGAAAAACAGTTTGATAAATTGTCATGGATATTCTTATTTTTAAAGAATTAATTGGTATAGGTTTTATACATGAGCCTAATAATATGTAAGGCGAATAAAAAATATACAGCCATTATTGAATCAGTATTTCCTCGTTCATTTTCCATATCTATGTTGCAATATAACATAGAGAATACGCGAAGGACTTTTTCCCTTATTACGAAACATCAATTACCCTATTGTCCTTGAAAACTGTTTGAAAATCTAAAAATAATAAAATATATATACAATAATCAAACCTGAATTACTATAGAACGTGTGACAACAACTCTCATGAGAATGCACCTTTCTGCTTTCATAGTTTTTCCATTTTAACTATGAAAATATTTTTAAAAAAAAATAATAATATTTACCTACAATAATGCTTAATGGACATGCTTCATTTTGTCGTAATATGCCTTAATGGTTGGTTATATTGTATTATTATTTTTTATTTCAAAAGCTATGATTAATCATTAAGAGGACGTCGCACCCGCATGCGTTGTCTCCGTCTTACACACATATACGATTAGCAAATTTTCGTTCACTAGTTTCATTAGGGTGCTGTCATTTTTGATTTTAGAGTGAATTGACCTATTATCAGACTTTTACTTAACAACATTATCTGTGTTCTCTCTTTGGTTTTTTACGACATTTTAATTTGTAAGTGAGTTATCAGTATGTAAAATATTAATGTTTGAAAATGCTCATAACTCACTTAAAAATTAAAATATCGTAAAAAACGAACGAGAGAACACAGATAATTTTGTTACGCAAAAGTTTGATAATAGATCAATTCACTCTAAAATCAAAAATGGCAGCACCCTATTGAAACTAGCTAACGAAAATTTGCTAATGTCATACTTGTGTAAGACGGAGACAACACATGCGAGTGCGACGTCCTCTTAACCACCGATTTTGAGTGAATAAGCTTGAGCAGCTTGTCATAAATATATTGAACTATTGAACACTTCTAAAAAAACATAGGTGCCTTAAAAATGTCCTATCTACATTGAACTACTGGTGTATTGGATCACTACTATACCTACCTGCAAATAAGTTTCCAAAAACACCAAAAATGTAAAACAAATTTTTTGTTCTGTACAAAATCTGAAACTGTGGGTTAAAGAAACCGCAAATCTATAACATAGTTTTACCCATATCAAAACTGCCAAACAGATTGTTTAGATATAGAATATATTAATATCAAAAAATAGAAATACGAAATTCGTGATTTTATGTGCACTATCAAGATCACACTATTATGTGAAACGATTTTCAATGAGTAACACGTGTCGGTTAACTGGATATTAGAAAGCGTCTAAAGCTAATAATAAGAGTAGGTAATGCTATTGGATAATACCATTGCCTTGTAAGGGGATCACATTGATAACAGTTTCACATTATACTATGCGACCTACTAAATGGCTTAAGAACCCTTGTAATTAGCCAACCGATTAATTGATTTTATTCTCTGGTACTGTCACATTTAAAATGTAATCAGAATTTTGTTGATCATTGTTTCTTTTCTTTTTAGAATACCATACTACCGGAAGCTGTGCGTTTTTGGGAACAAGCACTCATGGTTCGCAAAACCGAAAACGTTATTCGACTCAACCGGTAATTATGTGAAAAATCTATTTAAAATTAATGATATTATTAACAAAAGGAAATTATACGAAAACACTATAATATAGTAGGTAGGTATTGAAAATAGGCGTACCTATGTTGTTTATTCAGAAATATCCATTGAAAATGTGTATTTCCTATTTAAATTTAAAACTATCCAATTTTTACTTAAGTTTATTAAGTAGTAGCTTTTATAACATATAATAGTCTGATATAACTTTAAGAAACTATGCATTTATGGTGATACTTTACTATCAAAATTATTTTCTGCATAAAACAATAATAAAAACAAAATATAGCTAATAAAGATTGCACGGAGTAGCAAAAAAGTGTAGAAATCGCGTCCTAAACTATTACTGTACAGTGTACATTATTCTAAAAACAATGAACTATTATTTGGCCTGAACTATAATAACGTTGTCTATATCTAATATACGGTTTATCAGTAACGCAGATAAATACCTATAGCGGAAGAGTACGAAAAAAAAAGGATTTTGATGTTACATTAGACAAGACAGTAAGTTATACCTAGATCCTGGAACAATTTAACGTGCATTAGTATAAAATGTAAATATAATAATATATATTAGTTTTCCAATGACCTAGTATGCATACCTGGTATTACACGGAGCAATAGTGATGAAACGGCACACATATGTGTAGCGGGTCAATAGATTATTGTTTTTAATTAAAAACAGTTAGGTGTGGTTGGACAGGGACTCCGTGGTAATAATACTAAACAATTAATGTAAGATGATATCCGCGTCTTGATATTATGTGTTTACTGTGTATTATTTGTTTATCGTAGTAAAAGACCCCTGGTGAAATTGTTTTATTTCGTTCTTTTACAGAAAATGTGTAAACAATCAAGTTTTTTATCGAAAAGGAGATCCTCATCCATACTGCAAGAACGCATGTGAAGACCGAACAATGTGTGGCGAAGTACAAGTTCCCGAAGATCATTTGGAGGTAAACCATTTAATGATAAGAATAAAATATTATATATAAGTTAAAATTTTATATTTTTTTTTAAGACGTGATTTTTCACGTGTAGAGGTCTAACAAAATCCCTGCTGTTACGTTTTTAATTTATGAGTAGTTTTAATATCGCTTGCATATATACCATCATTAAGTATATAGTAATAAGTAGTAAGTAGATACCTTACTTAACTTAACATGAACGGTTATATGTGAACGTTGTAAATTGCAGTGTCTTGGAATACAGACTCAAGAACTGCCGTATCATTATGGCATGATGATATTAATATAATATACGCGTGGCGCAACTCAATACTCGTACATATAATATACCATGCTAGGTCATGCATTTTAATTTTTAAATGTATTGTATTATAATCATTTGTTTGTGGAACAAATAATCTCCTGTTATTTGCAGGCCAGGCTTACGTAAGTGAAATCAGGGTACACGTGCACTTGGCCCCAAACGTTTAGAAGACCAATGTTACACTTTTTGTTAATATAAAGTTATTCCCTCTTAAAGTTGTATAAAATACATTTTTAAAAATGTTTGTCTTTAATATATGAATATTTTTTCTAATCTGCAACTACATTGATGTTCAAAATGAATGTCCAACAAACAAATAAGAAATAATTATTATTTTATCGCCCGTGTTTATAAAAATATATTTGTGCTTATATACCGTTAAGTTGTTGACTGTACTTGAAAAAGAGAAATCATTGAGGCGATTGTTTTCAAATAAATGGAAAAGTGCAAAACGTTTATTACAAAACTATAAACTCTACCTACTATATATTCATCATAGAATCAGATTTATTTAAAAATCATTTCTCTTCATTATATATAGTTTAAATGTACGAACCTTTTTTTGGGGGGGGGGGTTAAGTATAGGTAAACTGTGCCTTAATTTCGTTTAATCGGGCCCGGACATTAGCATATTGTCACAGTGACGCGTCCATATTGTTGTGACGCACTTTTAAACTTGTTGACACTGACCTATAATATTTATTTCAACGCCGGTTCCTTAAATATACCTACATTTAGAGAGTTGCGCGACTCACCTTATCTCCATTTTTCTTTCCGCAATCTACTCCAAGAATATTCTGTACTCTATGCCCCGTTACTTATATATAAGTAATTAATTCAATAATATTTTCGTTTTTTCTGAATATTGCTTAATTCTTCAATCTCTTCTCTCGATATCAAAGCCCGTTGAGTATTCAGATCGTACTAAACATCCTATCACTTGCGTAGTTAAAACCAGCAGTATAAATAATTTTTATAATATATTATTGTATGACTTTTTCTAAAGGGCCCTGTGTGCGATCTGTTTTTTTGTTCAAAAACATGTCCAAGCTCTCATTTTCTGTAAAGTGATACGATTTCAATAACTTTTTAATAACTCTTTTTTTTTTTTGAAAGAGGAAGGGATAGGGTGCATTGGACTTTCATTTGCATGTGACCAAATTTATCAAGTTTTTCAATTTTATTTTTATTTTATTTTTGAGCAGCGTAATTAAAAAAAGTGGGTAGGTGGATGTCGCTCTGATGTACAGTAAGTTACAAGTGGGTCACTGTATAATGGATTGTATTAAATTTGAATTCAATGACATCATATCATTGTATACGAAAAACGATTCTGAGCGGAGACGGTTTGTCAGTCTGGATATTTTATATTGTTATTATATTTTATTATAGCCTGTAAATTTAATTAACATTATAATAATAACAACAAAATAACTAAAATCGTTACTTTTGTTTTTATTTTTATTCGTTTCTATGGTAATAATGATAAACAATGCGTTAGAAATTAAAATCCCATTTTTAGCGATTTTTTGTAATTTGTCGGTGGTGTTTCCCGTAGTGGCATTAAATAACTATTGAGAAAATCGAAAAATGACCTCCCTAAAGTATCATCTTGATCCAATTAACTAAAATATAAGACACTATATATAGGTATATATATATTGAAATCGAAGTACTCCTGCTAATAGAAATTTTGTATACAGGATAAAAAAAATATAATAATAATAAACACCATTGTAAAACCTCTAGATCCCTCCCTCCTCTCAGAATCTAAAATCAAAGTCGTCCAATACGTACTGCAAAAAGTCATCTTCTTTCTTACAAAAAAAAAAAATAATGAAATCAGAGCACTTTACAAGGCTTGAGTGTTTTTCCTGTAAAGCTTGTTTTGAGAAAAAATCAACAAGAAGTTTTTGAATTATATAACTTTGTGTACCATGGATAATAATTTAATATAAGTCAATGATAATAGGTTTGGGTGATTTGAAAATTATAGTAATTAATATTAATTTATCAATATTTTATAGTTATGGAAGACCTTATCTTGAAGGACTATTATCCTTAGTATAAATATTTAAATAACTCAAAAACTGTTTGCTTGGATTTTGATTTAGACCCTTCACCCCGCAAGACACTCCTTGAATAGTGTAAAACATCAAAGCGTTTTTAATTATTGTCTTTAAGTGTACTTAAAATATCGAAAAATCAGAGAATATGCCCGTGGGAATCAACCGGTGTATAGCTGATAAAGTATATAAATAAAAAAAACCTTTTCATTAACCGGCCGTATCTTTTATCTGTATATATTTAGGCATGTAAAACGTGCAACGCGTCGGGCATGGACTGCGGCACGGAAACGTCTAAATCAGGCGTGGGCATCGAAGGAGCTGACTTCGTGTTCTACGTGAGCGCAATGGAGACGGAACGGTGCCACAAGGGTCTGACAGTGGCTTACGCGGCCCACTGTCAGCAGGAGTCGGCACTGGACCGGCCGATTGCCGGGCACGCCAACTTGTGCCCGGAGAGTATCAGCACCAAGCCGCAGGAGCTCGAGGTGCTCCTGTCTACGGTCAAGCACGAAATATTGCACGCGCTCGGTTTCTCCGTGAGCCTGTTCGCATTTTACCGGGACGCCAACGGGTATCCGCTGACCGCCAGGGAAGACAATGGCAAGCCCAGGCTCAACGAGAAGTAAGCTAAATTACCAATATACTTTATACTTATAGCCTATAGGTACTTACCTCGTTCGATGGGTACCCCGTATATTTAATATATTTTAGGGCTAGTTGCCTAAGATAAATATATCTATGAGACTAATTTTTAAATGTATAAAATATTTGACTGGTAAATGTAGGAGATAGAAAAAACTTAAAATCCAACACATTGAAAAATAAAGTGGCAGTCGTAGGATTATTATAATAACCGAAGGCCGGTTCTTTAAAAAATACGATTTGCCCTCCAATATATCTGAATTAAATCTAAAACTTAATAGTATGAACTTTTTATATTTTCTACTGCTTAATATATCATAATCAATATCACTTAAGAACAAACGTCTGATTATTATAGACTTCAAGCAAGGCAGTGGAGTGATAAAGTAATCAAGACGGTGGTAAGACGCAATTGGACAGTACATGGTGGCGTGGTCGACAAAGAAGTTCAAATGATGGTAACGCCTCGAGTGGTAGAAGAAGTTAGAAAACATTTCAACTGCTCCTATTTAGAAGGGGCTGAACTAGAAGACCAAGGGGAAGATGGTACGGCTCTCACGCATTGGGAAAAAAGAATTTTTGAGGTATTTACTTTTAAAATTATAATTGTTTCTGTTCATTTTAAAAACATTTAAATGCATACAATTGCATATTAATTTATATTAATTACTTTTATCAATTCGTTATAGTATTTATTTTAAGATCGATTATTGTGTTAAAATATTTCATGTTGTGTAATACTTCCTCAGTTTTAAAGTTTCTTTATAAACGAAAATGATGGATTTGAGTACAGAATAATGTATTATAAGAAATGTGGTCTACACCTCCTTATTTTTTTCCAATAAGCCTTCCCGGCTTTTAAGTTTTTCCAATCTACCAAAGTAATCAGTAAATTGGGTTGTACATCACATGTGATGATTAAACATAACATTCATAAAATTAGCATCAATCATAAAATAAAAAGTTAATCAATAAACCTTTTGTTTATTACATTACCTACCTGTAAAATTAAATAATATTGTTTTCTTTACTCACAACCAATATATTTAGAACATCAATAGATTGAATTTAAACTTAGAGACTTTTATAAGTTTATAAAATCTTTAATATGTATTCGAAACATGATATTTTGTATGAAGTTCTTATAGTATATTAAAATTTCCAAGAGTCAAATTCAATTTAAAAATACCTAGTAATTCTATGTATTAAAAATATGTTCGAACACATTTATTAACACAACGATTATAGGCTATAGCCAACATTATTAAATCTATTAGGTATACTTTCAATAAATAACAATTTTAATTTGTATGAGCCATTATCTCTAATAAATAAAAGTGGTTTTCAAATTATCAATTCTGATTTTTTGTTGTAAATTAAAAAACTAATAACCATAAAGACCTGAAATGTTTACGAAATATTTAATGAATAAATAATTTGTATTTTCGAGACATATTATTACCATTTTCAATATATTTTGTTTCTTTTTGGTCAATTTAAAGGTTGAAAATTTAATACAACGTTCCTCATAAGCCTATTCGTACGTCTGCAAATTAAAAATATCGAAAATACAGTCACGATTTTTTTTTAGGCGTTTGACATTAGGTTTGGTTTTTAACTTTTAACCCATCCGTAAAATAACGTAAATCTAAAACACGAATTATGCTTATAACATATATGTACACAAAGAGTATAATAATTTTATTGTACAAGTATTTAATTTCTAAGTAACGATTTTTCACACCCTAAAGTACATACGATATGGTAATAACTATAATAACCAATTATTTTAATGTATATATATATATACCTATAACTATGAAAAAACTACCGATCAATTAAATTAAATGGTTATTATTTAACTTATATTTAGGTGCCTATTAGATTTATTTATAATTATTCTATAAGCCTATAATAGTGACTTTATTTTATGATCGTATTGTTAAGTGATATGAACATTTTATTTTATTTTCGCTTTTCATAATATTTATTTGAATTAATTAAGCAGAATTCGATCAGTCGATCAGACAAAAATACACAACACACTTATGTAATAACTAAAACTGCGGATGGTCTATTATCTGCAGTATATCCCGTGACGGAGCAACAGGTGTATACTGTATATAGGTAACAGAGGCCGGCCGTAATAAACTTATGGATATTGTGAATAAATTACGTGTGTAAACTGTAAAGCTGGTAAATCCATAACCTGATCTCGTATAAAATTGTATTTGTATTGAGAGATGGGGGTAACACGTTTGAGCGCAGTATGAAAAATGTACTGAAAATTGATAACACGTTTGGGCGCATTTATAAAAACACGTTTGGGCACAAAAAATGAGTAGCACAACTGATACCATTCCAATTTTTACTTGTATTTCCAATTTAAAATTATTTACTGAAACAATTCATCTTTTTTCTGGATGGTACATTTTCATTCGCACCGAATTATTTCTTACAAATGTACACTGTGCGTGTTTGGAAAGAAAAAAAACAAATTATTTAAGAACAGAAACCGAAAAAAAAATAAATCTTAATATTTTTAGAAGACTGTTGAGCCAACCTCCTTGTGGTGACTTCTAGGTAACGCTAATAGACTCGAAATTAGTATAATATGAAAATGTATGCAAGGAAATATATTATGTGCTCAAACGTGTTATTAAAAATGGATTTACGCCCACATCTGTTCTGTTTTGAGTAAATGTACAAAAAAGTGTTGCGCCCTGGGAGATACTGTATAACTCTGATACTTAAAAACTAGTTCAATGGTATTTATTTTTTTGTTGATTCAACATCACAATTAATTATTGAGTTTTTAAAATTAATTAAAAGTGTTAAAGATATTAATTTTTATTCAGAACATGTATTAAAAAGAAAATCAAGTTTAAAAATAAGATTACCTATCTGGTATTGGATTATACATGGTCACCGAATTATTAGAAAAAAAAGTTAAATATTGAAACTTTTAAATTAACTGTCGCGCAACCGACATTTTATGATTTTGTGTAAACAGTGTCGAAACAATCTTCTAGTTGTTAAGTATTGAGCGAATCGACCCTAAATATGTTCTATTTGGATGAATATGTATAGTTATATACCGATTGGGTCTAACTTTGTAGGTCAAAATTATTACCTCCACCCAAACGACCACCGCCCAAAGTTTTTTTTTTATAGATTTATAGTTACCTGTTCAACACTGATTAGACCAACTGGATTTAAGTACTTTTACACTCAGTTTTCACAATGAATTCGCATAATGTTGATTGATACCGGTATTTCAGGAAGTATGTTTCATGAAAGCAATAGACAAAAGTGTCTAACTTCAAAGATATTAAAATTAAATTCTGTAATAAAATCATTGTTTGCTTCCTTGATACGCCTTTAATGAAAATGTACATATTATATTTGTTAAAGTCTACCCTTTATTACGTTTTCAATGGATCACAATAATAATAAATAAAATTGTATAACAATTTAAAATTGTTTTATGAATATACTGAAACTATTTCCTTGTTCTCTTTTTGATAAAACTATGTAATAAAAACAAAAAAATATGCGTCCATCATCTTGTATTAGCTTTGATAATTTCAAACATTGTATTAATAGCAAGTATTCTGCTCAATTTAATTATAATAACAATAGAAACTTTCAGTCAATTTCTACTAATATAATATATCAAAAATTGAGAATTTTTCCACACAATATAATTGCGTTCTCGTACAACTATGAGTTGAGATATTCTCCCTTTATAATTAAATGCTAGCTGAAGCAACTATGCATTATATCTCACCAATATGCTGAATATTAGTATATTATTATTATTATTATAAATCTTATAGCTATTATAAATCATTGCATTTGCAATGCAATTATGAGTGTAGCACGATTACCCATTACATTTAATAGATGTTTTTTAAATTTTGAATGCTCGTAAACATTATTTTCTAGTAATGATTTTTAAAAATGATTTAATATAATAATAAACATTATATAAGTGACCTTGTAATAATTTATAATATTAACTTTTAATATTCAAAAAATATAAACTCTATTATATTAAATCGAAAAACAATTTAATATTTTATAATTTTAAATGTTATAAATAAAAAATTGTCCATTCTGGAAATTTATACATTCCAAGCTATCTTTCCAACAAAAAAAAAAAACGATTTATTTTTCATAATTGTATTAATATAAATTTAACATTAGCACAATTTAATTAATATGTATTTATTATATTAGTAGGTAACATTAATTTATAAATTAGAATACAAAGGTAGTAATAAATATTTTATGTTTACATATTATATTAAGTGTCGGTCTCAATAATTTTGTTTTGTACGAATAAAAGATTTTCATAAATTAGTAAGTTCATTTTAATTTAAAACCATAATCAATACCTATTAATGTCTTATAATAAATAATTTTGGAATATGTGGCTAGAAAAATGTACTTTATAGTTTACTAACTTTTTGATCTTCTTCTGGTTGAGAATCTATTTAATCTTTATTTCCAGGCTTGCCTTTATTAAAATTATTCTTGTTAATTTCTATAATATAGTTTAATTTTTTTTACAACTTGAAAATAGTAGGTACCATTAGGTATGCATTACTGCATTAGTATTTTTTTTAATATGAATTCCTATATTTCTAATCTAATAAGTAATAAGTAATGATTGAGGTATTGAATTAAGTAGGTAACGAATCATTAAAATATCATACAAATGTATTGATTTAAAATGTTTCTAAAACTTCTCTCTGATAATTAAATTATTATTCAACCATGCAGTTTATTATAAATACCCATTATTTATAACCTAATTTTTCGAGAAAAGTGAAAATCTCAGTCTAAGGTAGGTATAATTATTCCTGAGAGTTAAGTTGGATAGAAGCGTATAATTTTCGAGACTTAAGTCACGTACTCACGTTATTTATCATTAAATCGTTGACTGCATTTCCACTTTACTATAATAACACTTTTTTCATTTAAAACTTATTACATCTAAATGTTTTCTAGAATGAAGCGATGACGGGTACTCACACACAGAATCCAGTTTATTCGCGATTAACACTAGCACTGATGGAAGATACTGGATGGTATAAGGCTAATTATTCATTAGCTCAAGATCTCAGCTGGGGCAAAAACTTGGGCTGCGATTTCGTAACAAAAAGCTGTAAACAATGGATGGACATGAAACGTGCCAAAGGACAATCTATCCATCCGTTTTGTAATAAAGTGAAAAGAGATCCTCTGGAAACAGAGTGTACGGATGATCGTAGCTCTGTAGCCCTATGCAATCTAGTCGAACACGTACAGCCCTTACCAAACTTCTACCAGGTCAGTAACATTTGTAGTTGTTGAACTAATTTAATTTTCTATGTAGCCGGTAAATATTCTGAAAACTTAATTTTATACAACTTAACATATTATATATACAACAGAAACATTATATTACCTATACAGTGAAACATCGATAACTCGATCGGTTGGGGGCAAAAAAAAAATTCGAATTATAGAAAAAATTGTGTGTACTTATTGAAATGCAGGGGCAAAGATATTCCTTCGAGTTATCGAAAATTCGACTTATAGACGTTCAAGTTATCTAGGTTTCTTTGTTTTATAATTTGTAATTATACATGGCACATGGTAGGTATAGTGTGAAAATTTGTATTTTTGCGGGTTAAATCTAATAATTAAATGTATGTTTATTAGATTTGGTTAAAATGTATTTTATGTAGATAATACTATCTATATATACTTTTACCAGCTAGCAGCTCTATAATTGTATTTAAAATCATCTAGAATTAATACTGTTACAACTTATAACAAATCAAAATTAAATTATACTAAACTATATAGTTATTGAATGGGCTGGCTTGGTGTGGCGCGGTCCCTACACCCAATTGCGGAAACCCTCTGATTGTATACGTATCGGCGGCTACAACTCATTTGCGCACATTAACCTTTTTTACAACTCATTTGCGCACAATTTACGAACAATAGAAACCTATTTCCCAAGAAATTTATCCATGTATAGGATGTACATAATCTGCTTACCTCCATATTTTCGAGTTGGTCAACACTGATAGTGGAAACTATTATACTCAAACAACATTTTCCTTCACCCTTTAAAAGGCTTAGGACTTTCTGTCTCATCATATTCTGATGTTATAGACTGGCGGGTTTAAAAATGTTGTTTTAGCTATTTATTTTAGAACAGCTTCCTTAGAAATTAATTATTCACAATTTTGTCAAAATACAATAAATTAGGTACAATGATATTTACAAAAAAGTCATTAAAATTAACAAACTACCCTAATTACAGTTATAATACATTTTTAAAATTTTTTGTTACACTTTTGCATCAAAAATGTTAAAAGATCAGTTTTTTTAGATTTGTTATCAGAATATATTTTTTTCATATAATTTTGTTTTTTTAATATTTCTATTCTACTGGTATTTTCTTAATGAATTTATTTTTAAATCAGTATCGGCTTGAATTTCCATAAGTATTTGAATAATTTGGTGAATGTGATGGTGGGAGGTATAAAATTGTTATTGAAGTGCATGTGAAAATTTTCAGCTCTGTTCGTTGTTCTTGGGCTATCGTCTGGTTCACTAGCCTAATTAACGGGTGTTCATTGATATAAATATTATTGAATGTGTTGGTCAGCTTGAGACATCCTGTACACCCAAAACTGTACCTAAAAGCTGGTTTTCATTGTTTACTATTTTATGCGCAAACGAGTTGTCGTAAATTTAAAAATATAGTATATAGTAACATAGTCTCCACGGTATCGGCCGGTGCTGCTAGCTCCCGGATGGTCACCATCGGGATTTTGACAAAAAATCCTTACCACACATACAAACGTGTTTCAACCAACCGTTCCTCCCCCTCCTGGGACAAACAACCTACAAACAAAAAAAACAGTTAATGGCCATAGTTCCATAGTTGCCGGGCTTCAGCTCAAAAAAAAAAAAAGTGATGAACTATCATCTTTGCCTACTTATTTTGGTAATGACATCATCACTTATAAATTGTTATAATATTATAATTTATAATAATATTCATTATTATTAATTTATGTATAGATACAATGGTTGCAAATAGTATTAAATATTTAATTTCACAAACCTATATAGGAATATAAGATATTATTTTTAGTGTTGTTTTAACTTTATGAAATACAAAATTATCAAAAAAATTATTTCACGAGAATATAGTAAAGACGTCGTAAACATAACAATATCTTGCTTAAACACTTTTCCAAGTACCTCCTGGAATACACTCCTACCTACAATATTTTTAGTAAATAAACATTTATTTGGAAATCACACTATTTCTGTATAATTCATTAAAATGTAAAACAGTAATATTTCTTTGAATTCTGAAAACGAACCTAAAGAGAGCTCTGTTTACTTATAAAAGTTTATATAATATACAGTACTTGGAAAATATGGAAAAATGATTAGTAGGTATAACGTTATATTAAAACTTCAAAAACTTAAATACCTAGGTATAACGAAAAATGTAATTTAAAAGAAATATAAAAATATATCGTTACAATTAAAATTTAAATGATTATAAAAACTTAAAAAGAAAAGTGATTTTAGTGAATTTTTGAATTCTAATTCATATAAATCTTCTATTAAAATAGAAATTTTAGAAATTTAAATTGCAATTTTTATAAAATAAGTACACATTTTAAGATTTTAATTGATTCTGTAAATTCAATAGTGTAAACATTTTTGAAAATTATGTTTTTGCAATATTATGACAATACATAAATAACCTGTTAAATCTGTGTTGGATAGAATATGATTATTTTCTGGTACACATATATAACCAAAATTGATTATATCTCACAGCGTGTGCTTTATACATTTCAGTAAGTATTTTTGTTTATACATATTAAGCCCTGATTCGTTCTCTTAATTATGAAAATTATAACTCACAAAAATACAACCAAAAATAAAAAACCACTTCCGTGAAAAATCAATACATAATAATTATAATCAGGCTTTGCTCAAAATGTAATTAAGTTCAAGTTTTTTACTATGTAATGCTTACTTGCATACAAAACATGTTTTGCGTTATACAGTCAAAATGTCATATTTATTAAAATAGTTATACTGATCCTATATTATTACAATTATAAAATAATTTGCAACAAGTTTAGTAACTAATATTAATTTAATAGTTTTGAAGCTGCTATTATATTTATTTCATTTGATATTATAAGTATACACCACAGCATATAATCATAGATTTCACTCATTTTGAAATCGATAGTGTCCATACTTAACCGCTTAGATATTATTATATATTCTCATTTAATTTTTTTAAAAATGATTAACAATGTTTGTAAACTTGAAATTGACCTTGGGTGTTATTCCATGTTTCTATTTTCTTGCTCACGGCTCAGCTCCAACGTTTTCCGTCGCTTTTCGTTCCACCGAGTTTCATTCGCGATGTGTTAGCAATTTTATATAGTCTATCTGGCTATATTATACAAGATGATTCTTAGCATATTCCGTTGCGTTTGGATCTTACATGACAGATACGCGGGATATTTGTATAGCCCGGCCCCATCTAAAACCAATAGAAAATTAGCTATTTGCATTATAATTGTACCGGCGTAGTATTTTGACGGAAAACGCATGGGTTAAGACGCGACAGATTTACCACCGCCGTTGCCACACTTCAAACTATAATGTATTTTGAATATTGCGTAAAACGCTGTGCACCTAGCAGGTTAGGTCCTTAAAAAGCCCTGCCCGTAGTGACATTGGACAGGGCCGGGCCTTTGAAATAAAATAAAGGGTTGGACCGGGCTGGACTTCGAATAATAAATCAAGGGTTGTAACGGGCTTTTTAAGGATTTTTTTTCGACATTAAATAATCACAATTTAAAATAATAAATAATAATGATAAAACCGACGTTGGTACTGATAGATACATAATATAGAGTACACTCTATGGATTGATACTAGATAATATAATCAATCACAATGAATATAATAATATATTGATTGGTGGGTATAATAAAGCTATTTATATACAATAATAATATTATATTTTAATTCCACAATATTTTTTGGACCAGGACGGGCCGTGCTTGAGGATAAAATTAATGGACCGGAACTGGCTTTTTACGAGCTTAGCATTATTTTCGGACCGGGCCAGGGCTTTTTTTTCACAATATTTTTTGGACCTGGCCGTACCGGGCTCGAGGATAAAATGTATGGACCGGACCGGACCGGGCTTTTTACTAGCTTATCATTATTTTCGGACCGAACCAGGGCTTTTTTTCACAATATTTTTTGGACTGGGCCAGGTCGGGCTTGAGGATACAATTGATGGACCGGACCGGGCTGAAAATTTACGGCCCTTGCAGGTCTATAGTACCTACCTAGAACACGTAGTGGACGAAAAGCGACGGAATACGGTCGTATATAGTCACAGCGAGGCCAAGAGTTTTTAAATTCCGTAAATTATATTTACCTAACAATTGTTTACTATTCATTCTTTTTCTTATTCGTGTTATTTTTGGTTAGCCCTTTGCGCATTCGGAGAACTCTGAGAGCTAATTTTACTTATAAAAAATTAAATGAAAATAGTCATTAAAAGTTATTTTTCGTAGTAATTATGCCCATAAAAAGCAGATATTGTTGTGTTTATTTATTTTAACATAATATTATATTATTGCATTTTGTTATTATTGTGGAATCGCTGATGGGCGATGGCAGAGGGAATTGCTTCCTCTAAATAAAATTATATGTAAAAAGGAAAAAAAGGATAACAATTAATAAGCCATTATGCAAATATTTTACAATTCATGCTTAATAAAATTATGAAAATGTTATATCGTACATACCTAATAACATACTATACAATAATTATTAAATAGTTCAAGAAGAATTATAAAAATGTTGGTGTGTAAAACGGATGAACAGCAGTTATTACACCATTGATTGTAAATACTAGCTATTACTGTGTATAAAACGTATAAAAATACACAAAAAATAAATATTTCCTAACATTTTTTTTTTTTTTTATCGAGCTTAAGGCGGCAACTATGGCCATTAGCTATATAGATACTAATACCACTATAATGTTGGTATATATTTTGTGTATTTTTATTTAAAATTTTTTATTTTATTTTGTAAATTATTAACAATTTATTCTAAGCATTTTTTTTTTAAATCCCTATGTACAATCTTAGTTTTTATTATTTTATCATGTTTAATATTATCTAAATGTTGTTTTTAACTTTCACTTATATTTTATTACACCATATACATTATACAATATACATAATATTATATATTATACAAAATTGAATATTATAAATAATGTCAAACATGCATAGGTAATAGGTATCGTAATTAAAAAGATATACATTTTTTTTATTTACATCGATATTTTTTTCACAATTTGATATTCGTGTACTTTGATTCCAACATATATCTTATATTTTAGCAAATTGGATTAAGGTGGTACCTACTTTAGAGATGTAATTTTTCGATTTTCTCAATAATTATTTAATGCAACGGAAAAAAACCACCGACGAATTATGAAAATACGCTAAAAACAGGGATTTAATTTCTAACGCTTATTTTATCACCATAGAAACGAATAAAAAACTATAACATTACAATATTAATTCAACTTACAGGCTATTATAAATAATAACAATATATAATATCCTGACTGACAAATCGTCTCCTCTCAGAATTGTTTTCCTTATACAATGACATTATAATATCATTGAATTCAAATTTAATACAATCCATTATACACTGACCCACTTGCGACCTACTGTACAGCAGAGTGACATCCACTTGCCTTCTTTTTTTTTTTTTTAAACATCGTACATTTTAATTTCATATTCTGAAGCAGAATATTATTTTCAATCTATAAAGATCCAAATTCTTGTCCGACATTTAAAAGAAAGATGTAATCGTTCGATTCTCTAGTTAGTTTTTTATTGATTTATTTATCGTTATTTTTTTATTATTAAAGTTATATTATATAGGTGTTATAACTTTATTTGCATATGTTTTAAATATATAGAAATTGTATTAATGTTACTTGTCGTCTACTATATTAAGCTATCGAGTATTTGCATTTATTCTTATTTGTATTATATTATTTTAGAACTTCGATTACATCCCACACGTAACATCTGGTCGTGAAGCATATTATGGAGGATCCGTAAGTCTTGCGGATTACTGTCCTTACATTCAAGAGTTTATATGGAGGTCGAAAAGTGTGGTAATAAGAGGATCACATTGTCAGTATCCCGAAAATAATCCACGTAAGTACATAAATATATTATACTTTAAATGGTATCTACTCAGGTCAATGATAAAAATATTGGATGGCATAATACAATACAATTGTAATATAATATGCATCACTGTATCAGATATAGGATTATATAAGTTATATACTTATAGGTGTATGAAAATGTAATACTAACCAAATGTGTATTAAATGTTTTATTTAATATGTTGTTGAGCTGTATAAAATAAAATGTAACCGCTTGTTGCTTTTCAAAGTTCTGCGAACAAGCGATTGACGACCAGCGTATAATCTATTTTTATTTGTATAATGGGTTGAAATCCAAGTAAATCATAGTAGATAGGTACTCACTACTTACAATAGTTACAGTAGGACCAAAACATAGTCAAAAGAAAAATAAATGCTCCATTATTGTAGTTTTCTTATTTCCGAAGAACATTATATAATTATCTGAGTAGTAAATTTTCTCAATACACGCAGTTGATAGTTTTGTTTTGTTCTATATAGATCCAGATAAAAACTTTGCATTAGAAGTATACGGAGACAATTCTAAATGTTTCGACCATACTAATCAGATGTGGGAAGAACAAACGTGCAAACAAGTCAGACAATGGCAACACTGGGGCTCTGGATGTTACGAATATAGCTGTCAAAACGGAAGACTTCATATTGTTGTAAGTGTATAACATATTATCACTAATTAAATTATTTAACAGGACTATAAGACATATATTTCGAGTGATTTTTAAAAATATGATATCATTAGTATTTATAGATTTTGTAGATTTTTCTCTGTGGCATTTCTTTTTCAAACTAAAATCCTAAAATATATGTTTCGTATAACTTGTTTTGAAAATAGACAGTTAAAGACCAGACATTTGAATATAAGTTATAATTTTACGGTATAGTCGGGCATTGTATAGGTATCCAATATATGTATGCCTTTTTTGGCTTTGAGTATTAAATATTAATCCTGATTGACTGCTCGGTGAATTTTTTTTAACGACCTTTTAATTAATTAAGTTTCTTAAGTCGAGTATTATAATTATACTGTTTTAAAATATTTTATTCTGATTACTTATTTTGTTTTCAGCAATAATTTATTATATAGACAACGTAATTTTAATTTGCTAAAATAAATTTTTTGTGTAATTGATAGTAAAAAAAAAAGTACCAAGATGATTTAATTTTAAAGAATAAAGTACCGATAGGTAATCCTGACTGAGTTTCTTAATAGTTTTTTATACGAATAAATGGTTATTTAAATTGGATATCTATTTAGTTTAATTAGGTAGCTAAAAAAAGTCTGAATTTAATTAATTTGAGTTTAAGCTGAATTACTTTATTTAAAAGCTAACTTATATAGTTTTAAAAGAAAGTATTGGATCCTAAGAAACTTCAAAGTAGTTCAAATTAGGTATTGGAAAATTATATTGTACTATAATATAAGTATTATTTTGTAGTTTTGAACACTACCTACATGTCTATTTTCCTGTAAAACAAAGTATATTATGTACATTTGCAGAACTTATACGTTGTGTTAAGTATCAGTGTATAGTTTATTTTGTTTGATCTGAAAATGACAGATTATTTAAATCGGTAAAATAATTATTATGTAAAATAGTTTGAAATATAGTTTACTAATAACACTGTACACCAATTTGTTCGTGGAATAAACTGTTAATTAAAAGTTTTGTATATTTTATCTTACACATAATGTAATTGTCACGGTAACTAATAAATAATTAAATTATTATTATTAATTAAATACTTAGATCTCTATTATTTAAAACAAAGTTGTGTATATTTTATCTAAAAAGGACGCTACACCCTCATGTATTGTCTCCGTCTTACAAATGTAAAACATAGCATAAACTGTTTTGAGCGGGATAGAACCACTCAGGCTGTAGTAATAGTTAAGACTCCAAATTGATATACAATATAGTTGAGAACATTATCTGTGAAATAAAGTTTTTATTTTTTTTATATCGCTTGAACAAAAAAAGTTCTTATTGTTTCAAAATCCACTACTTTTGTGTTTTTAAACTTCAATAACTTTTTTTTGTAGCTCTAATGTCGAAAAAATAAAAACGATATTTCAGCTAAAGTTCTCTTTTTTATGTGGTGAAAATTTCGTTTCTTAGTTATTACTGTAGCCATCTCGGTTCTTTCCTGCGCCAAAACAGTTTTTGCTGTCTTACATTAATTGTAAGACGGAGACAACACAATTTCGGGTGTAGCGTCCTCGCTACGGCTATATTTAAGGGGCAACATTTAGGCAATTTCTAATCTCGTCTTAGCCATCCGGGATCTATGTGTTAGTTGTAAACGATTTAATTAGGGTGAGTAAATTCAATGAGGGTACCACTCTCTTACGCATGTGCACGATGCACATATCAATAACTCGATAACAATATAAAATTCACAATAGAATAAGACTTAATTTTTACAAATTGTTCAGTTCGATCTATGTATATTATCTATAGATAATTTTCTAACGAATTGAATTTTTTTTCTAGAATCAAAATAGGACAACGTAAACTAACTTTAATCTTGTCAAAACTTAAGGTCTTTTGAGGTAAAATGTACGGCAGTAGCCAGCCCCCTTTAATATTTTAAATTATAAAATATATTATTAATTATATTGGCCTGCCTATATATTTATTATCTACATGGTATAATATTTATCTTCTTCGTCATCTTAGTGCATTACCCTATGGTTAAATTATAATTTGTTTGGCATATTATTGTATAATAATACTATAATATAACATTATTTGACGTATTTGTTTATTGCAGGTGTCCAACCACACGTACACGTGCTACTTCCCGGGCCAGGAATTGGTCATCCGGCTGGTGGCCAACGGTTGGCTGCACAAGGGCGTCATCGTGTGTCCGGCGTGCGAGGAGCTGTGCGGCGGCGGGTCGGACGACAACAAGTGCAAGCCACCGTCGGACGTGCCACTCACCGTACCGTATCACCGCGAACAGCTAGCGTGCGGCGGCACGGCCACAGTCTCCGTCACGGCCGCAGCCGCGGTCACCACGGTAACCGTCGCCACGCTGTTACTCATGATCTCGACGTGAACAAACAACGATATGATAATATTATAATATATCGTACATTCCGTTTCTCTCTCTCTCTCTCTCTCTCTCTCTCACTCTCTTTCATTATCTATATCTATCTCTTCCTACTTTTTGTTCGTCCCTCTCATCGAGTGTGTGTGTATAATATTCCATGTCTGTATATATATAAAAAAAAATAGTAATTTATGATCGTCATCGTAGTCATCAACATTCCTAAATTGTTGCACTCTTCCGGAGCGCGAATTTTATCGCACTCTATATATTATGTTATTGCTCTGAGTATTAATAATATTATAGATCGACTGCTCAGCGTTAGTCGGTCGAAAACTATTATTTTTCCGACCAACAACAACCGTGCTACAATAAATTAATATAATAATATATCGTGTCAACGTGACGTGCCCAGAAAAAAATTGTACAGCAGTCGTGTCGGTATTTATTAAATTTATCGGTTTATCGGCTTTTACGCGCGATTTACGAACTGTCATCCTCCAGACTCCAAACTGTATTTGGATTGATTGAATTTGCGATCGCATGCTGTTTTACGTATACATATTTACATTTTAGATACATAAAAAAAGATTAAAAAGTGACAATTAACGATTTCATAATATTTTGATGTTTGAACTTGAACGTATATTGACTATTTAATAGTATAGTGTGTAACGGCTAAACAATATAAATTACGCAAACTATATTATATTTGTTGATGTGGAAATATTGACAATCAAATTAACATTTCTCAAATTCCTACTTAATACAAGCGTATTTGGTGTTCATCGCTTTTCCAAGTTTTTACTCGTTATTATTTATTGTCTCAGCCTACAGCAGCTCCCGACATTTTTTTTTTTAGTTTGATAACATGATGTTTTATTTATTATGAAGTTACGATTTTTGAGCCTTTATTGCGTTCCCGCTTATTATTTCTGTGATAGCTATGATTCCATTTTGTCATTTTTATAGCGTACAATGTTCCACTGTAAACATCGATCGCAGTGGCGTCCTCGGATTGGAGGTATGCCTACAACGTTTTCGTAATATCTGTGGATAAGGGTCATTGGCCGAGGAACACTAAAGTATGTTTTGCACCAGATTAACATTGAATGCTGTACCTAAGTATACGCCACTGTTCAATCGGAATTTTGCTGTCCCGATTAGATTCCCTTATTGAAGACATTAAGAATGTTGATTAAATATTAGGTTCTAGAACCAATCCCTGTGATTAAAATGCTCATGTATGGATATAAATGTGAAATAAAAAGGAATCCTTTTAATTGTAATAAGTATATACGTTAGAAAAAATATTGATGATACCTATAATAGGTACATCATGTGTCATTATAATGATTTTAATTAATAATAATATCCTCGTAATTCATGTTTATATTTTTAATTTTAATTTGAGGCACGTACCTAATAATAAATTACTTAAGATTCTCCCACTTTGATGTGTACACCCCTTCATTGCTACAGAGTATCCTAGTAGATTGGTACCTATTTTATCTAGAGTAATTGTGTCGTATTAAGTAGGTAACATTATTAGTTTTTTTTTACTAACTGAATACAAAAAAAAATGTACCAGTCAGAGTTAAACAGCTATAATACTTAGTAAGCTTAGTTAAGCGTATAACTTATTCCTTTTGATAAAACAAATTTCTGAACAAAGAAAAAAAAAATATCAAATGAAGAAAACTGTTTCATAACTAAATTATTAAGCAGTAGTAAAGCTTACAAAGGTTTCTTTTTTGCGATTTCTAACCGACAAGTATCAACCAAAAAAAACTTCATCATTATTTTTGTTCCGTAGTATAATAAAACCTCAATCGTAATAAAAGTCTCTTTTATTACTGCCATGGTCAAGATACGTACTTGTATCGGTATTTGCCTTTCGTTCAACGTAAACATTCCTGGTGTATTATTAGGTGGGTATTATTATTGTGTATTTTACTGTTTTCGTGCACGAGCAAAACGGATATTAAAAAATGCTCAAAAACAAATAATAATATTATTCCAACTGATATACTGCAAACAAACATTCCAAACTTGAGTACATTTAAGTATACAATACGCATATTTGTATGTACCTACTGCCCTATACTATACATATTATACTGCTTTATATAGTGCTTTAGTATAATTAATTAATTGTTCTTGCTGATGTAAACATTTGCGATTGAAATGGAACATTACCCCATCATATTAAAATTATGATTTTTTATCAGTAAATCTTCTATAATTTTATCGTCGGTATCTTTTATATAGTATTATGTATATTATTCTATCATAGTTACCTACCAATTTGTATTGTGTAAAATAATTATTATTTTTTTTATTTTTAAAAACCTATTGTATTTACCAATATTTATATATAATTATATAATAATATATGTTTATAAGTGTCACTAGACGTTAAGTTGTGAATATGCGTTTTTTTTTTAAAAATTAAGATTAGTATTATAGTGAGTACGTAAAATTAAAAATAACTCAAATATACTTATTATGTCTGGATGATTTGCCTCAAAACCACACCCTAACAGTATATTTTGTCAAATTTTTTTTTTGTGGTTATTCGGTATTCCACTGCTAATTATTGTTTATTTACCCCTCAATACGATGTTTCTGAATTATACAAATAATTACGTACTATTATCAATAAGTAATAACTATATATGCATACCTATATAGTACCTAATACTCATATTATGTAGAATCATTTGTCGTGTAAACCGAATATAATAAAATATATGTTTTGTTGTTCCTATAATATATTTGATCGCGTTGTGTTATTATGTTTATAAATAATAATAATAATATTAATGACCCAGTCCTGCGCGTGTCGTTTTGGCACGGCTAATTCGGTTTTTATTTTTCCGTTTACTCTGCGGCCCACCATCATCGTTAACAGAATACAGAAGACGACGATGATCATAATACATATATATTATATTATTATACACGACACCCGATAATTTACACATAATATTATGTATCGTGCGTGTATATATTCCTCTCTGGTTCTAAATATAAAATTCGAAGTCTCCCACTTGCGCGCGCCGACGTCACAGAAAACGCCGTCACGGTGACAAAACGGAAATCGAGAATGAAAGAAAAAAAAATTATATCTGAAAAAACTGAAACGTTTTCGTCAGTCGCAGTGTGTCCGTCGGACAAATGGACCATCATCGTCGCCTCGACGCCGCCGCCGCCGCCGTCGCGCTACAGGTACTCCTGCTGTTGTCATCGCCGGCCACTGTCGTCCGAGGTGAGTGAACACCAAATATATTAGCATAATACAATTGGGGTAGGAACTTGAGTAGATGCACCCCGTGAACGTTTTTTTTTTTGGACGATTATACCTAGGATGCGTATATCAATGTGCATAAAATAATAGTTATGTTATGTAATAATATGTCTTCTGAATCGATTATTAACGACGTTCGATTTGGTAGAAGGGAAAAAAACAGGTAGGTTACAATTTATTAATATTATGATATCGTAGGCGAGAGGCGTTGAGCGTGTGGCCACTGCGGTTACTATGAATTAAATTTGAATACTATTCTGCTATAATAGTACCCATATCATAATATATATTAAGTGAATTAAAAAATATTTGATTATTGTTTTGCTCAAAGTTCTTTATGTGATGTACAGATATACTGCAAATTACTACTCTACATCTTACGCGGTTGATATGTGCGTTAGAGAGTGCAAGAGTGATAATATAGTATGGTTAATAAAAAAGTTGCCCTCTCCCGGAATAGTTAGAACTTTGGTATACATTTTAATACATATATATATATTATGTATGACTACCATGCCGATAATGTCTGCACACTCGTGTGTTTATAATGGTATACACAAAATGCAACCCGAACTGCACACGACCGCTATTCGGACACTCCGGTTACACTTTTACGATGACTAAACGTTTCGCTTTTTTCTCATCACTATTTGACTACGTTACCTAATACAAGTAACCTTAACGGCTTCACCTGATATATTATATATTACAACGAAAAATAGTGCAAAAACACCTTTGAGATATTGACCATCATTGTAGGTAGGTACTTCCAATAATAATAAAACTAGATAAAAAAATAAATATTGCTTATACACGATGACAAAAATATATTGCTTGTTTTTTATTTTCTATTAGATAGGTACTGTTATTTAAATTCTAAGCTATGGTGAGAAAATCACTAGCTACAATATTTTACTTAATATAAATCGCACATGTTGCATTGTCTCTTTTAGAAATGAGTACCAAATAACGTAATTTATACTATACATTTTGTGATGTAAAGTTCTTTTAGCTATTTTTTTTTTAATTGGATAGTTTATTAATTTATTGATTGTATTATTATTATATTATAGCATCCACTCAATTTCAAAAAAAAAAAAAAAGAATTATAAAGATAAAAATATATTAATATGAATGATAATCATATAATTGAATGATTTGAATGTCTATAGGTAACTAGTTTATTAGTTTACTACTTTAATTTGTATTTAGATTTGCAAATCATTTTAAAGTCAAAAATTAATTTAGTATGTAATTTTGAAAATAACTGCAAAATTGTTGTAGAGCATTTATTGAGTTTAGGTCGAATAAGTCGTCAATTCCATTGACAACTGTCAACGCCCACTCACTATAATATTACCTACTTAAGACATTCCTACCGATCACTGATCAGTATATAATATTAACTATTGGGTGAACTCAATATAACTAGAAAAAGAATTATAACGCTGTTCAGAATTTACCAAGTCGTTTGAACAGTAAACGTTCGTTTTTATCGAGTAATCAAAATACCATATACGATCATATTTACGGATATCCATGGCCCGAGTAGGCTTGCCGCTTGATATCGTAGACCATCAATTAATATTACATAAACTATGCAGAAAATAAACCTATATACTACTTTTCACATCAAATTTAATTGCTAAGCTTACGGTTTGTAATATATCTTATAAAATTCATAACTTTTTTGATTAGCCCCTCCAATAAGGATGGAGCCTTGACTTCAAAATCCTAGTTGCGTAACAATAACTGTAAATAGGTTATAGGAAGCCCGACATACTATAATTTTTACATCGAAATTTCTGATTTTATCTTTCAAATATACATTTTCGATTATTACTTGTGACTATATACTTACACCCTTTATATACACGTATAAAGGGTGAAAAAAACGAAAACAATGAGAAAAAGTCAAAAGCGAGTTTTTGCAGTGTCAATAACAATCGCATGACAATGAGACATTTGGTGAATAACAAAATATATTATCCGTACAACATATTTTTATTGTCATATCTTACACAAATATTTGTATAAATGAACATAATAATATACACGTGCACTCAAATATAATATTGTTCATTACTTTGGTGCAGTCCTGTGCGGCCGTCCCGTGTGGCTGACCGACGGCGATACGCTGTACTTGAGATGGCAGAGCGGGCTGGGCTTGTTGGACCGTTGCTCAGTGGTGCTGCCCAACGGCACGGAGACGACCCTGCCCGAAGCGGCCGCCACCGTCGCCCCCTCTAATTTCACTTACGTGGGCGACGGTTACCAGTCCGGGCAATGCGGACTCAGGGCCGTGAGTGTGACGCCCGGCGTCGGCAATTGGACGCTGACGGCGTCGTCGGCGGACGGACGACACGGTCGGGACACGAGTCACGTCACATGCATCGGTAAACGCGGTCAATATACAATATTATTATTTATTTTAACGTTGAGTAATGAGTGTATATGTGAACATAACATTATCCGATCAATATAGTGCAGGAAATAAGGGATGGGTTCTGGAGCTCTTCAAATTTTAAGAAAACATTAAATTTAAGCTCCGAATTGAATTCGAATATCCCGACCTACCAGTTCAATACAAATCACGTTGAACATATGGTCCAGTACTCAGGGCTGGGCAAGTTAACTAATGTGTTTAACTCGTCAGGTTAAGTCGATATTGAAAAATGTAAATTAAGTTTTAAATCATGATTTTAGTTACATCCATTTTTTTTTTAACTGACAAACC